GCACCGGGAGTGATGCTCGGGGGAACCCTAGCCGGGAGCAACTCAGAAATGGCTTACTGGGAATTAATCCAAGTCCTAGGGCGCAATGCCCCAGCGGAATTTCGCGCTGTGCCATGCCCCTCGGAAGAGGAGGTCGACATCTTGGTTATCGGTGACTCTTCATGTGCTATGGTTGAAGAGCCCAATGACAAGTTCCCCACCAAGCATCACGTTGCCGAACTGCTCCAGGCCGACCAGCTCAAGGGCGTTCGCAATGTCTACCAAGGCATGGATTGGGGAAAGGGGCTCGATGCAATTTACAGCACTATGGAAGCCAAGGTGCGATTCATTGCCGAGGACAATGCTCAAAAGGGCGTCAAGCAACTCCCCATATCGGTGTATGTGTTGTGGGGAGGGAATGACGTTTTTGGCAATTACGGGTATGTGGGCTGCAGGTGGATCCGCGAAAAGAGACTCAATCGAACGGAGGCGGGCCGGAAGGCCGCGTCGGAGTGGCCAAAGGTTCAAAGGGCCCCCCGCGTGTTTGAACAGCTTGACTTCTTTAAGGAGGCTGTTGGGCTCGGACGCATTCGGGATATCACCTTCATCTGCAACCCGGATGCGGAGGATTACGGCCTCACCTCCGACTACAACGAGGCGATGAATGGCTGTCTCCGGCACCTCGCGGACGGGAGCATCGACGACGGGACCCGCATCAAAGCGATCGACTCGATCGACCCATCGGTTATGACGTTGCTGGCTCACAGGTACGACGACGTGCGCATGACGTACAGTAACGCCAACCGGAAGGTTGTGTCGAAGTTTTTGCATGCGGCAATCAACACTCAGTTGTTGGCTCAGCGGATCCGCTCCGCTCTGCCGGCAATCGGGAGCGTCGAGCCCCATGTGAAGGGGGAGCCAGTTGACCCCGTCTTGTTCGGCTGGCCCACTTGCCTGAGGTTGGCAAAGGCCCTCCATGAATATGCTGCCATGGAGGAAAGGCCCGACTGGTCGCAGGACCAGGAGGGCGAAGAGGTCGACGCCGATGTCGCTGCGTGGATGAAGGTGGCGGAGGATGAATCATACAACGCCATGACCATCGAAATGAGGGGCGACGCAGTGGACGAGGCCGAGATCATCCTCGAGGCGGTCGACAAGGGAGATGAGAACGCAGATGAAGAGTTCGACCGCGTTGAAATCGCGATGTCGCAGTTCCTCGGCCACACCGCGGAGCAGCACGGCTTGTCGATCGAACCCGATGACGACGACAAGAACAAATGGCTCCTGTTGGGCGACGATAACCAGGACTTTGGCTGGGATCCGACAAACTTGCCCCCGGGAGTCCACCGCGCTGTGCCGGAAGGCCAGTCGAGCATCATCGCTGAAGGCGACCCTTTCGACCAAGAGACGGTTGCCTCGCTGGAGCTGGTGTCAGAGGTCGACGAGTCCGATGCGGCAGGGATGAGTTCCATGATCACCGCGGAATCGGCAACCTTCGAATCCGTGATTGAGGGCACCAGTACATCCAAACAGCCACCGACTCCGCCACCGCCAAGGCGCGGAATTGCTTCAAAGAGCGCTGTGGGGGAACCCCAGTCGACTGGCTTCATCGAAATTGGAGACGAGTCCCCACTGCTGCCGGATCGGCCGACAAGCACCAGGTGAAGGCGATGCCAAGGATTGCGAAGGCCAAAGCGCCGCCAGGCAACGCCGAGGGGGAACCCCGGTCGAAAAAGCAAAAGGATCCAACGCAGGAAAAGATCTTTTGGGCAGACTGGGTCAAAACCCGGAAGATCAATACAAAGGTCCCGGCTGAGGAGCAGTGCGAATGGCTCGAAGTCGAGGACATGGGGCACGTCCCCAAAGTGAACATGGACCGGGATTACAGGTTGGTGGCAATCTCCAAGAAGATGTCCTACTTCCTCAGGGGTGGGGCGTTTAAGGATGGAAAGCCACATCCGCCCTGTCGCGGGATCGACCTCTCCGTCGAGTTTGATGCGCTTGTGAGGCATCTCAATGACCGGATTGCAAATGTCAGGCCGTGGGAGGTCATGGTATGCATCCGGAACAATGACACGAGGCGATTCCGAGTCATGGTGGGCCCACCTCCGGTGGGTGAAGCATCCTGGAAAGGATTGCCGTACCAAGCGTTGAGGGTCAGAGCTGTCCAGGGGCATCGCAACGAGCTGACGAGGAAGTACACGGAACAGGCGATCTTGACCAACCTGTACTCCCTCGATGATGAGTTCAAGGCCGCGAAATACCTGGGTGGACAGTACCCCCGTGCAGTGCGGAATCCTGAGCGAACCGACTTGTGGCGCCGAGGCTTTCCCGCAGTACTTTATCACGCATGTGATCTGAGATCCGCGGAGAGCATCCTCAAGTACGGGCTGGTCCCGGGCGGCTACCCGAAGTCCACGGGCAGGGCCCATGTGTACTTCAACCCGACACCGCCATGGGAGGCCCAGATGCGAAAGCTAGCGGGAACGCGAGCCGGAAGGCCCGTCACGATTGCATTCGACACGGAACTCATGATGCAGGATGGTATCAGGTTGTTCACCAGCGACGAAGCATTCATGTCGGCTGACTGGGAACGCGTACATCATCTATGCATTCCACACCAGGAAGAACGAGTTCCTGTTCTTCAATCGGGCCTATCCGGAGTTGCGCCAGAGATACCGCGCGGCGCTGACGGCGGAGCTCACTCCCGGACCGCAAGACGTGAACCCGAGTTTCTTCAAGAGCGAGAACACTCTGACGGCTGAAAAGGCATGGAGGCACTGGCAGGAGGTGGTCGACGGCGCCAGGCAAGCTGCTGCCCGGCGCTGTCACTGAGATCGCCACTGTCGACGAGCTCGCTCCCCGGAAGGGCAAGCCGAACGAAAGGCCTGCAGGACCGACGTATCAGATCGCGCCTGCGACGCTTCGACGAGTACCCGAACTCTCTAGGGGAGAAAAGGGGCAGGGGCGCGGCTGGGGCAATCTCCGCCGACGCTACCAGAGCGAGCCGGATTGGGAGGATCTCTTCTTCACCACGATGATGAAGAACCCCATGGTCAAGTGCTGGAACCGGAGATGTGACCACTTGCAAATCGATGGCTATCTCCTATGCCAAGAGTGTCGATCTGACATGGTGGAACGGATGCGAGGATTGCCACGGAAGTCGTGCGGCTTGAGCACACGGCCGCCCTCCAGAACATGGTGTTCTATCTCGAAGATCTCCAGGGGGGTGGTGGCAAATGGATCCGATTCAAACATCATGCGAAGGAAGGAGACAAGCGGGGAGGAATCTCCGTCGAGGCATCGCTCGGGAAGACGGCCAAAACTCACCTCACACAAAGGCGCAGGGGATGGGCTGCGCAAGGGTGTCGGATCGGTTGTCCATCGACCCCTTCTACGCCTACAACTGCGCCACCCAGGGGCTGACTCCGGAGAGCTTGGACTTTCTGGGTCGCATTGCCCGGGCGATTGTGGCGGACCCTGGCCGGACAAGGGAAGAGCGCGACAAGGGGGGTTCTCAGAACACGGGGACCAAGCTAGTCTTCATCCCCGCCCCCAACAAGCTCAACCCTCACGAGCTGAATATCTTGACAGAGGCCTATATCGCTCACCATGCACGGTTTCACACCGTCATGCAATTCGCTGTCATGTGCACGTACCGATTTGTCCCGAACAACCAGGTCCCGATCATTATCGGACACAGCGGGCAATACGTCCCGGAGGGAACGTCCAGCAAATTCTTGGCGTCATGGTCAGCTTCATCCGGGCATCGTGGACGAAGCATGACCCGCAGGGTACCATCAGCGCAGGCGAGTTGGAAATTCCCCAATTCTCGTCAGGCCGCACGAAACGCTATCCCATCGAAGCGAAGAACACCCAATGGAGAGCCATTACCAGGTCCATTCGTCCCGAGCCCTACCAGACCAAGCACAAGGGCAAAGAGCAAGAACAAAGGACACCACGACTGGCACTCCTGGAATTACGGGTGGTCCTATGCATGGGAGCAGTGGCGGCAGGGCCCATGCTTATGGGGGTGGTGAGCATTCATTGATGATGTTGTGATGTTATCCTATTATCTTTCATCCATTGATGCCGCAACATCAACTGTGCTGTTTTGCACGCCCGGCGGAAGCTGCGGCCGTAGTGCTACGCACGGCCCCCCCCCGCCGACACTCATTTCCATTGTCTGCCCAGCGGAAGCTGTGGTCGTGAGATCACCACCGTTGTTGATGGCAGATGAATTTTTGCAAAGATTCACACGCAATATCGTGTGTATAGCCCGACGGAAGTCGTGGTCGGCCGATTCACCAGGCGTGCTCCTGCAAAAAGATAGCTCGTGTCAGCCGCTCCAAGCGCATTGCAGTTGAAGCAGCCGTGGATGCATAGCCCCCAAATCATGACTTGCCACTCATCACACTGAGGCTCAACGTCTTCGAAGTCTCAACCTCAGAGGACTTTGCTTCAGGCCCGAGGAAACGCGTACATAGTACTGTGTTCCCCAACGCTCCTCTGCAAAGCGGGGGGTGTTGTTTAGTAGTGTCTTACCGACATGATACATTGGCTCAAGAAAAACAAGCTGTCGCCCGTGCTGATTTTAGGTAGATCCCACCTTTCAACAAACATTCAACCACGGAATCGGACCGCAGGCATTTGAGATGCTTCCATTACCCGGGCAAGCCATTTTGGGGTTCATATTTCTTTCCATTTTGGGGTTAACCTACTTTTCTTGTTGGTGCGATAGGCAGGGAAGGAGCATTGGAATAGCCTGGGTTCATTCCATTTCACATTCCCTATCGCACCGATCGCCCGTTTTGACCACCACGCTGTTGGAATTTATCTCACAAGCCATCCCTTGTGGTTTCCTTCAAGTCCGGACCCCTGGAAAAAATATTCCCCACATTCCCCACCCACATGGCCGTCTCCCCTTTCCTCCAACGGCCTCCACTGGACCCCCCCCCCCTCGCCGGATGCGTCCGCCGGATCCGCGCGCCACTCGGCTCGCGCGCGTCTCGGGGTGCCAGATCCGGCACCTGGGCAACGAGCTGGGCACCTCCTGTGCCGCCTCCAGCTCCCGAGAGGCGCGCAGTTCGCGCGAGCGAAAACTCGGCGAGGGCGCTTCGATGCGACGCTCGTCCGGGCGCCGGAGATGAGATTTTGGGGCGGTGCCCCTTTGAAGGTTGAGGGAACACCGCCATGAACACGAGGTCGCAAAAAAAAAGAGGACACGACGGAACCGGGTGAGCCAATTGTTGATGAAGGGTAGAAGGCATTTTGGAAGGAAGGTGGACGTTTTGCACAGGACTCGGTTCCCCTTTTTGGGGCCATCCACCCCTGAAATTAAGTGGGGGTCTTCGAAAGGAAAGGAAGCACAGGTGTTCTTTTGACCGGTTTGGGTGGAAATCGATGGGTTCCACCGGTTTAGATGGGTTTTATGCCATCCATTTGCCAGGGACACCCATCCTCTTAGGCGCCGTTCAGAAACTCTGGTTTCTGATTTGGTTCCTCAACGGCACCAACAAACATTAAAATATGTTTTCAACCATGTGTTCATTTTGTGGTGCGAAATGGATTTCGTCCATCCATTGTAGGTGTTTTTACGTCAGAGTCAGATTGGTTGAACGTGGATTTTACTGTCAGTTTGATTCGAGACTCCTTTGCTGCAGGCGTCTATTTGCTTGACTTCATGGCGCATTTGTTTTCTTTCGGAGACTGCACTTGTCTCACTCTTCCGCCGAACGAGCATTCAGCAAAACCGTCACAGTGATACAGTGATGCGCTTCGTTTATTTGGGGGCCCCAGACGACCTCGCAGAGGATAGAGGGTTTCGCTGCCATGCCGGGCTATGAGGATGCGCCGCAGACGCAAACAACAAACGACTTGCAGTTTCTTCCACGGTAAGGGGCAGTAGCTCAGGTTCCCTCGAATTGGTGGTTGGGATTGGTGGGGATTTGAACCCCCTCGTTCTTGTAGAGGGTGGGAAACCTCCCCCTAACCGCCAAACCAGCAATCCAAACCACCAATGAGAGGGAAGCTGAGTAGCTGATTCCAGCATCCAACCGGCCCGCAATGCTTGAGCTCGGCAGGTGGCTCAATGCAACGAGTGCCCCAAGCAGACGTCCGGAGACCTAGGGGGGGGTTGGGGATGCGTCGCCGCCGCCCGTCTTGCTCGTGAGAGGCAGCCAGAGAAAATCTTTGCGCATGAGAGTCCGATGCCGGTAGAATTGAGGGAATCTAAGAGGAACCAGTCACAGTGTTTCTCGTCTATTTCTCTGTGGTGGACAAATCTTGAGCCAACTTTGTTACATGTGGCTCACCGGCCGAAACATGGAATGAACGTGCCATTAGTGAGCGAATGCCCACAAGTGCAAATCGCTTTCATGCTGTTGAGTCGGGAAGGCGACGAGGCGGATAGCTGGGTTCCCGACAGAAACCTGGGGGGGCCTACCCAAATTTCTCCACTGAATTGGGCAATAGCGATATTCTCCATTGCTCGCCTGCCAACCAAAGGGACCCAGAGGTTTGCAGTCAATCCCGGCCGTGGCTTTGCAGCTTTCACCTTTCAAGCGAAGCTGCGGAATTTCTCTACGATGTAGTTCCATTGCTGCGAAGTTGTCCTGCTGGTGCCCAGTAGGGAATGAGGGAATGACCGGTAAAAACCATCCCTTGTGGTTTGCTTTAAGGCGACAGCCTGGGTTCATTCCCCACCTGTCGCACCTGAACCGTGGAACATGGCTGAGGAAATGGTGCGTCTGGGCCTCCTGGGAGGCCGGGTGGCTTGGCAGGGCTCCTTAAAAGATACATGTTGCAACCATTTGAACCATGGCTTTTTCCACAAAATAAATGGCAACCAGCATTTACAAGGCAATGTTCGGGTGTATAATGTAAGGATCCCTGCTTGGGGCTACAGGTGACGAAGACGTCGCCAAAGGCCCCCCCCCCGCCAAATATAAAGGCGCCATCACCGCCTCTGGAGTTTTCCATTTATGGTGAGTCATTTTTCCCTATGGGGAAGACTGGGCAAATGGAATTCGGGGACACACCCCACCCGCCCTCCTTCCTGAAGGCGACGCCTTTTTTTGAGATCCCAAGATTTACGAGGCTCGTTTGTTCAAGTTCCTGGAAGGCGAGTCCGCCTGCGTGAATGCCACAAATTGCCCGAGGGCACAGGGAGTGGGCGGCTAGGCATTCCTTTGCGCTGGCTTCCCTTTGCCCCCCCCCCCCCCCCCCGAGGTTTGAGAAAAGCCTTCCGCGCCAAGTTGCGCTGATGTTTTGTATAAGGTTCTAAGTCGGGATATGCCGATTCATTTGTAATCAAATACCGCTGCTTGCCCTGTATGGTGTTGGTCTTTGGGCTCGATGTACGGAAGAACAGCCCATGGCAGTTTGCTCTTTTGTTCATCACGCTGTGGGTTCCGCAGCAGGTAGTCACGGGAGAAACCTGCCGAACAGCTCCTTCATCCGCCGCGGCTTGGGGGCTAGACCCTGCCGTCTTGCCTTCAAGTGGCTGGTTAAGCTTGCTTTTTTTTAGGCGTTTGCTGAAAAAGCTTCTGCGGCAAGGTTGCCTTTGAGAGCAGCAGTTACTGCTGGGAGCATACGCTGCGGGTTGATCAAAAGGTCCTGACCCTCGGGGGGAAAACCACTGCCCACGGCAGTTTGGGGGCCAACGGAATATTGATCAACCCCCAGCTTGTTTGTTTCAGTAAGATTTTGCCTCATTCCGTGAATGCAAGGGTCAGCGGGGATCCACCTGGTGTGCTCGGGAAGCGGGTCCAGTCATTGGGGTTAGCCTATGCTTGACAATCGCAGCCACGAAACCCACGTAGGAGACTTAAAGCCATGGTACAACCAGGCTTACTAGCCACAACCTGTTTGTGAGCTGCCCCTCCAAGCCATAGGTGTCCTTTTTGATCCCTTAGTTTGGCTGGGTCTAGATGGGTTCCACTGGTTTAGCTGGGTCTTAGAAGCCGTTTACCACAAAAAAACCCGATCTACAAAGGGAAAAAACGGCCGCCTCTGCTCCAAGCTTCGGCCTTCGGGTCCTCGGGTCCTCGGGTCCCCGGGAAGGACGGGTCTTGTTCGGCCACCTGTGGCACCGGCGGCCGTCTGGAGCGCAAGCGCATGCCCGGGGCGCGTGTTTTTCGGGCGGGGCGGGGCGGAGATCGAGACCTCAGGTGGCGTGGTTGGTTCTCAGCCATTCCCCTAGCTGTTTATAGATGTTTTTAGTGTTTGGTGGCCGGAGTTGCGAACTTGAGCCACCAAAAGCTGAACTTTTAGCAGCGCATCTGAGGACAGCCCAGGTGGGTACTTAGAGGGGCGATCGCTGCAGGGTGCGTCAGGTAAGCGGCGAGAGTAAGCCTGGTGAGCTTTAGCCCACTTAAGCCATGGTTTTACGTCCGACGTATTGACGGGAGGGACTATACCCAGCAATAAAGTAGTGATGGGATGGAGCCGATGCATTGAATTTCTTGAATGCTTAATGCTTCGCCTTTGACCCGAAAGAAGAATATCGAGGAAGGCGCTCCGAGGAACCGCTTTTTTTCTTTTTATCCCTCCTCCTAGCATGTCAAGATCTTGCCAAGGGAACCGCTCGACCATCTCTCATCTCAGACGCTGCGACGCTGCGCGTTGTGGGCTGGGAGTTGCCGCGAAGAGACAGCGAGGTGAAACAAACGCTGCGACTTCAAGTTGCGGCGGACAATACTAACATCGTGCGATTTGCAACTCTGCGTGTTGGTTTCACTTTCAATTGGGAAGTCCGCAAGAGCACGGAGGCAGCCAAATGTCGTACTCAGCCATTTGAAGGGTCATATTTGTGGGATCTTCCCGAATGTGTCTCTTGCTCCAGACATGATTGAAGAGGGAGTGACCATGGGCCCCCCCGCCTCCATCCTGTTTGCAACATTCAGATTTGTACAGAGTGCCTTTTTCGAAGACCCGCTTGGTTGGTTTTCTCAGCTGCAAGGACTGCCCGTGTTCAGCATTTGGAGGTGCACTCAAAATCAGGCCGGTTTGATCACGGAATTCCTAAGGGTCCAAGGGTTCCCAAGGGTTCCCAAGGCTCCCTAAGGCTCCCTGAGGAAATGTAGGGAACCCGAAAGGGGCTCTCAGCTACCCCCAACTTGAACCCTGAATGATTCCATACTTTGATGCAGGTGTCCCTTCTGTTTTTGAAAATCTTGTTTGGTCATCAAATGTTTTATTGTATTTTTTTTAAACATCCAGCCTGGTTGCAAATGATTCCATGCCGTTTTTTGTGTTTTGACCGCTTCATCTCCAGGGTTGATAGCACTGAGGCTGCAGACACTGAGCGCTGGGCCCCTGAGACCTCGGGCACCGATTCGGGTCTCGGGGTCTCGCGCACTGCTTTGCTCGGGTCGTCCTTCCTGAGTTCAGGGTTTGCTTCGCTTCCCTTTCTTTTTGGCTGTGGGTCAAAAGAATGTACCCAAAATGGAACCCTGGTAAATGGAAACATGGACTACAATCTGCGGTCCCCTGATGGCTTAATTTTGATTTATATTCTTTTGGAGCCTTCAAAAGTGGCAGCTTCAAGAGACACTTCCCCCAAAAGTGCAGCTTCAATGGCAACTTTCGGACGGCTGCGGACTGGGTGACTTTGCTTCCCAGGTCTTTAGGCTGCAGTGGGTTGATCGCAATCAAAAGGAGACGCGATGTGACACAAGGAGCCGTTTGGGCTCTCCGTGGGCAGCAACAGCTCACTGCATGCCGGTGAAGGTTAGAACAAGGCCGAAGAAGAGAGTGGTTCGTGGTTGCACATTCCAGAGGTACATTTTGAACCATTTCTTTCAGCAAGGTTTTGCGCTTGGCAGATGTCTTGCAGGAAGCGCAGCCAAAAGGATATAATTCTGACGAGCCCGTTCGTGTGACGTCAGCATTCCAAAAGTTACCAAACCATTCGATGGAGCACTGGAGCTTGAAACTCGTTTTTTGGTGCAAAGAAGGAAACACGCGTCACCATGAGAAACACATAGCACGACATAGGTGTGTCTTTTGTCAGGGGAACCCAAACCCAAAATAGCATCGGTTTTTCTGTTGGGTTTCCCTTTAAAACAGTCCAAAAGAGTAGCTTCAGAAAAGACGAGCCACCCACATTGGACTAACAAAATGGCGGTTTTGCTTTTGGTTTCCCGTTAAAATTGGTCCCACGGGTACCAACTCCGAAAAAGGACGGGCCACCGCGCTAGCGAACAATTTATATCTCTCTTAAGTTTTGATATTCTGTTGACTTTTTTTTAAAGCAAAAAAAACAACAAAACAAACACCACAAAAACACCCTTTTTGACTTCTACGTCCCGCAACATGCCCTAACCTCGTCACCTTTCGAAGCTCCGCGTGCGCCGAGGCCCCGCCTTCCAACCCCCTGGATGCCGTTGGCAACGTCACCGGCGCGGGCGCCAGCTGCGAAGCCTACGAGGCAGGGACTGGCGCGACACGACGCGGAAGGGATCTTGGATCCATAGGCGTCCTTTTTGGTTGATTTGGTTGAAAAATAGATGGGTTTCGATTCCGAAAGGTGCTCTCAGCTACACCCCTTGTAATGTACATAGCCGTTCTTTTTGGTTGATTTGGTTTGGGGTTTTGATTCTTGGTTTACCTGGTTCAATCAGCCAGGGAAACCCATCCATTTTTTCCCAAAAAGGACACGTGTGCTTGGACCCCTGGCCGCCACGTCCTATTTGAGGCCAACCTATTTTTGACAACCACAGCCATTTGAGGTCTATTGGGAAACCAAGAGAGGCAGTTGAGCCGCTTGGTTTAAATCGATTCGGGTGGCTGAAGCTTCGTAAGGGATAGGCAGCCCTTTCCATAAAACGGGTGCGGACGTCCGGCAATTCTTGAAGCAAGACCATTGCAATACCAGGTTTTGAGTATGGCTCAAGGGGCCAAAAAGGCAGTCTGACCAAGTTAGACTCACCTTCCCACCTTGTGACAGAACTCACTTGTTTCCAATTTGAGCCCATCGCGACCTTTTGACTTTCGATGCCCAACGCGCAAGGTCAGAAGACAGAAGTTTTGCCCTGCCCTTGATTTGTCGTCCGATATGCCACCAGTCTCAACCATAGGTGTCCTTGTTAGTTGTTTTGGTAGAAAAATAGATGGCCCTGGCTTACCTGGTTGTTTAATCATCTACCAGGGCCTATGGTCTCAACCACAAATTTCAAGCCAGCCTCACCGCGTTCAAGCCAGCCTCACCGGGCAGCGCCTCGCATGTCTTGCTTGCCCTTGCCAGGTGGAGTACACGGAATGCAAAGACGTGCCTCTGGAGTGTAGCTCCTGCGTGCCCGAGGACTCCGAACTCCGAACTCCGAACTCCGGGGGTCGAAGCCGCGAGTCGCGGTGGGTGACGTGTTGGCCCAAGTCCAATGCGGGACGAATCTAAGCCTCGCGTTCGGCTTGAGAAGCCCACGTCGATGGGTCTTCTGGCGTTCAGTCTTCTGGCGTTCAGAGCCACAAAGGGACGACGCTTAGGGCATCATCCGAAGGCGGGACAAGGGTGTCTTTTTTCAGCGGACCTCAAAATGTTTGGTTTCCTTTGGGTTTTCCTTGAGCTTTTTTGTTGGAACAGGGGACAAAAACAAAATGGCCACATTTCCTTTGGGCATCTCAACGGGGTCTGACTAGAACTGAAGCCAGCAACGAATCCCGGTGATTGAGAGAAGGTTTGAATTCGCTGCATCACGTTCCACAACACAAGTTCGGCAGAAATGTGTTGCTTTGCTATGATGAGATTGTCGTTTTCCTGAACGAATGCGTCCAACTATGCTCAGGGTTGCATCAAGCCTTTGAACATTGATAGGGTGGCGAGGAAATCTGGAATATGTGTACTTCATTGTCACACGTGTAGACACATACGAAGCTAAAAAGAGAACTGTAAGGGATTCAGGGAAGAGTCCACACAGAAGCATTTGCTGGTTCCCTGCTTGGAAGCCTCGAAATCTGGGGATCTGGCCATGCCACCCTAATGAGCAACTTGTTTTGGCGGGGTGTCAACACAACATGAGATTTCTCAGAATTGGGGACCCTCCAGGTAGGTGGTTTCCTTTTGGCTTCCCTTTAAACCGCATCCAAAAGATCCCCTATTGTGAGAAACCCCCACACGAAGAAACCAACTTCATTGAGGATCCATCAAACGGCAGTGGCGCGCAACTTATATCCAAACTTGGGGTCATTATGCTTCAACTTGCCCGCGCCCCTGGGAGAACCGAATCGACATGGCCTCGATAACCGCGTCATTTCGGGGATTCAGCCTGCCAGAAAGGCCGAAGGCCGGAATGCTTGAGCATATCCGAAGCGTCAAAGTAAAAATCGTCTGGGGGTGTCTCAGACTTGGAATCCCAAAATGGATGGTTTCCTTTAGATTCCCTGAAAAACTCCCGCAAAGGTGATACCTTGAAAAGAAGACACTTACATTGCTTGCGATACAGTCCTCCAGCTCATCTTAGCTATTCTTGTGCCGCAGGACTGTCTCTTTGGTGATTGGGAGGAGTGGGCGCAACCGACCACATGTCTGGAGCCTGAGCCCGGCTTGTTTCCAGGGGCGTCGGCTGGTTTTTTGGAGCTCTTACCCTTAGTAGCATAGGTGTTCTTTTGATCGGTTAGTTTGATTAAACATAGATGGGTTCCACTGGTTTAGGCGGGGTTTCTTCCATTTGCCAGGGCCATTTGTTTGTCCAAAAGGCCGCCTATGCTTAGCAGGCAAAGACAACATTGGGTCTGGTGGCTGCATGACAGGCCACGCCGGCTGGCTGGCTGGCTGGCTGGCTGACTGGCTGGCTGGCTGTCTGGCTGACTGGCCCAACAGTCGTGGCAAGGGGCTCCCGAAGAAAAAACTCCAGCGATATCACTGCTCGGAAAGAGCGAGGCATCGGGTGCTGCCGGCTTTTTCCAGGTGACGGCGTGTGCACGCGGAAGCGCCAGATCAAGAGGCGGGGAAGAAATACGTAGCGCTGTGCCTCGTTTCGGACTCGTTTGCAGTTTGCGCCTCGGGCTTCATGTTTATTCCATGTTCAAAAGTGTGATGACATATTCTGACGAGAATTGTTCTGGTAGTCAGATTGAAATGACAATACAGACATTGGAGTACGGAGGAAGGTGAAGAACTAGCTCTAAACCAAACAATCATTGCCTTCTGTCTACCACAGCAGTTGTCGACCTGGTCACGTGATTCTCTGAGCTTGGCTTCCTTTTGATGTTCTTCAAGCCATACTCTGTCTCTTATTCGGGGACCCCAACAAATGGCTTCCTTGTGGTGTCCCGTTAAAACCAGCCAACAAGGGGTACTCTGGTACCCTCACAAAAAGGACAACCCATATTGGGCTCCCTCATTTCGACCCCTCAATTGGCCGTTTTCCGATCGTTTTCCGCGCGCATTTCGGCGTCCGGACGTGGCAGGTTGCAGAACGACTGCGGGAAGGCGTTGGGCACGCCCAGCTGTCCGATTCGACTCGGGCGGGAAGAGCCATCGATGGGCCAGACTATGACGGCTGTCCAACAAATCCGTCGTTTGTGACCTCCTCCATGTTTGTGCTATATGTACAATGTAAAATGCTTACGTTTGGAGCCAGGCGGCAACCAATATGTGCATGACAGATAGCGTGAACCGGGTGGTTGTGGTGCTGGGTGGTGGTGGTGCTGGGTGGTGGTGGTGGTGGTGGTGGTGGTGGTGGTGGTGGTGCTGGTGGTGGCGGTGGGGCTGCTGCTGCTGCTGTTGCTGCTGCTGGTGGTGGTGGTGGTGGTGGTGCTGCCGCCGCCGCCGCCGCCGGTGGTGGTGGTGGTGGTGCTGCTGCTGCTGCTGCTGCTGCTGCTGGTGGTGGTGGTGGTGGTGGTGGTGGTGGTGGTGGTAACGCGTCGGCCAATTCTGATTTTTGCTCCCAATGTGGAAAAGGGGTGCGGCGATGATTCTCTTCTTTCCCACTTTGCAAGAGCTATGTTGGTGAGGGAGGGCGGCCTTCGTGCCGGGAGGGAAGGTGGGCACAGCTGCACGGGTAGAGGCTTGAGATTGGCTGGGTTTTCCTTCGGGCAACCAAAAATGGTTTGTGCGTTCCAATGGTTGGGGCAGACGGAGAGAGGAACTCAATGGGCAGACGCGTGCGACAAAAAAAAGAAGAAGCTTCGGCGCTTCTGTCCACAGAAGCCCTGTGCTTTTCGACTTGGCAAGTGTTGAAGTAGTTTGGCCCCTCCAGATGACTAGTTTCGAAGTCATTTCAAAGTGGGTTGTGTCCACATAACAAGTTGGTATAGCCAGGTTAAGCTGTCACACACGTCAGCTGGTGGATTGCAGCAACCGCAATCCATTTTGGCAAAGGATCAACTCCAAGTTGGTAGCCAAGAATGATAGCCTGCCTGCCTGCCTGCCTGCCTGCCTGCCTGCCTGTCTGTCTGCCTGTCTGTTTGTCTGTCTGTCTGTCTGTCTGTCTGTCTGTCTGTCTGTCTGTTGGTTTGTTTGCTCCGATATGTTTCCCAGCCATCCAGCACCAGGCTGGAAGCTCGGGTCCCACCCAGGTGCAATGGCAACTTGGAGGAGACCAAGCCGTGCATCCTTGCGGAGTGTGCTGGCAAGCAGGACGGGAGTTGTCAGGTTCGCCCTGCTGGATCCAAAGATTTACCACACGCGTGGCGGTTTCGAGTCTTCTCTCTCCCAAGACAGGTTTGCAACTGACGAGTTTTGGCTGAACCTCCAAGCAAATGATGTGGTTTCCATGTAGGGCTCTTCAGGTTGCGGTTGATGGAAAATTGGCTTGAAGTGCTTGACCATCGGGTTACAAAGGCTCTCCTTCTAGCATCGTGGTTCCCAGCCATCTCCTGGGGTTTTTGGCTTCTCAGGATTTAGTGGTAGTTTCCATTTCACTCAGAAGTTCCTCACTTTCAGCAAATCAACAATTCGGACAGCTTATCCCACAAGAGCTTGACTCACTTTTAGCGGATGAGAATCGGACAGCTTGCTGTGGGACGCCAAAACGCGGAGCAGCTTGACGAGTGCGTGTGGTGAGGACTGCGTCTTCTCGCACTGGTCGGCCTGGGCGGGATGCAGCGACACCAGCAGTCCGGGCACCTGGCGCCGAATGCTTAGGGCAGCTGGGGTAATGTTAACCCCGGATTAAGCAGCACCCCTGGTTGATTTTTATTGGGGGATGTCCCCTTTTAGTGGGGATTCATCACTTTTGGAGGGAACACCACCCTAATAATGGAACGGGTTTTATTAATCCTGGGTCAACATTGTGGGTCGAATTTATAGCACCAGGAATCGGACCGCAGGTTTTAGTCCTTGGTTCCATTTACTAGAGTTCCAAAACGGACACCCATTTTTGACCCACAGCCATCTGGGGGATGAGTCGAAACGAAACCAGGAGTCGGAGCAACAAGGAACTTTTTAGTCCATGTGGCCATGGTGGGTCAAAACCCAAATCGTACCCCCAGTGAACATCCCAATCCCCACTAAAATAGGTTCTAAAATGGGTGGAGCACCGAAAACACCCAAAATGGGATCCCATTGGTTTTGAGCCATGGCCATGTTTCCATTGACCGATCGGGGGCTTGCCAATTTGGGGTTGCCCTATTCTTGACAACCACAGCCATCTCCTTGTGACGACAACATGTGCGTTCCACTTGGTTGTATGCCGGTGAAAGCCTTGGAAAGAAGGAGCTTGGAACCCTGAAAACGCGATGTCTACATGTTATATTATATTATGTACAAGCATGTGTATATATATATATATATATACATATTAATATATATGGGGAATTTGCAGTTTTGTGCAGGGCATCAGCTTCTTTTGAAATCAATTGAGGGGCGAAAGGAGGAGGTCCCAAAAAGTAATGTGTGTTAGTATGAGAGAACCGTCCGCGCACTTCCCGAAATCTCATGTCGTGGCCGCTTCCAACATGTTGAGTTCTTGTGGCTCATTTGCATCACTTTCATGGGCAACTGGGGGTTCATCAATATTCCGTTGAAACCCCAAAAGGACCAAGGGTAACTTTCCTATTTGGTGAATGCCGTCCTTTGTGGTGTTTTCCAAATTGTCCCATGTCTATCGGACCTTTTGATCAACCCCCAACAACACGACGTGCGGTCAAGGCAAGCCGCCGTTTAACACACGTAAGCATGCGCTTGCTTACCTCCTATGGGTCGGAATCAGACAGCCAACTCGCCCCGGTCATGTCTCAGTTGTTCAGAGCCGAACTTGACCTTTTCGTTTTCCCTTGTTGGTCCATTTTTCGGCATGGCCCCCAAAGGTTAACCTTTGATTTCTGGGTCCGCACAAGTGAGAGTTTGTTCATCCCTTAGCTTCTTACCCTTGACGTGTTGTTTTGTGCTTTGCAGTCTTTTCTGGTTTGCATGTGTGAAGAGTGCTCATTTCAAGATAGCAATCCATCAATGCGAGTTACGCAATCAGGGTTTGTCGCCACTTTTGGACCAGACAGGTTTGAAGAATGCCCATAGGTGTCTTTCTTAGGTTAGTTTGGTTAGACATAAATGGCACTGGTTTAGATTGGTTGATTCCATTTACCAGGGAAGCCCATCTATTTGCCAAAACGACACCTATGAGAAGGCCCGCTGATTTTTTGCTCCTTTGCAGGAGTGTGCATCCATGAATTTTGGTCGCTCGCGGGACCCCTCAATCCCCCTTCCCATTGCGGCAGGGGGGAACCCATTGATTCCATGGACACAAGGCCAGCGACCCACACCCCACCCCACCTCACCCACCTGCCCCACCCCTCCAGGATTCTCCTCATGTGACCCACTTTTTCACCCAGGGCCTGGCTCATTGCTTCGCGAGGCCAACAGACGCGGGTGCGAGAGATCGCCACCCAGAACGGGCCTTTTGGTGAGCCCTGCGACGGACAGGGCAGCTCGTGGGAGGGGGAGGGAACCAAAAGCAGCCAACCCTTTGAAGGGGTTCCTACTGTGGATGGACGAAATCCTGCAACACCCAAGATTCCCCTGGAAATACCGACAAAAATGGTTTCCATTGATTTCAACGTGGTGCAGGATTTCGTCCATCCAGAGACAGCCATTCGAAAATAGGGCAACCCCAAAATGGCTTGCCTTGGAAACGGAAACATGGATTAACACCTGCGGTCCGATTCCTGGTGGTTGAATTTTGACCCATGAAAAATGTGATACATGCCAAGTTGACCCAAGGTACTTCTGCCGTTTTACAAAATTCAACCCACGACAGTAGCCCTTCCGTGTTCAACGATGATTGCTAGGGTCGCCAGGGTGTGCTTCGATGTGTGGATTTCCACTTGCAGCTGAACAATCACACGGGAAGCTCGCTAGCTGGTTGCGTGAGCGGATAGAAGCCTCAAAAGGAATCGTCACTGTTGCAGTTGGAGGTTGTAGTTTGCATATCGAATCCAGTCATTTGCCGCATTCCCCGAGGGGAGTATCTCAGTTGTATGTTCTGTGTCTATTGGGATTTTGGTAGTTGGCTGAGCAATGCAATATGTTACTATTTGGACAATGCAATCGTCGGAACATTTGCTTGGTATCTCTGCTTAAGCCACCTGGAAGGTGATTAATTTGCGCGCAAGGCTTGACCCCACTATCTCATAGCCATCCTGTAGACTGCGATGGCATGCATTTTGACTGCGTTGTCTAATCCTTGCTTCGCAAAGAGGCGCGAAGGTACCGCATCGTGACTAATCAGGACATGTGACGGGAGGGGGAGCATCCAGCGTCCCATACGCAGATTTGTTCTTATCCCCAGCATTTCTACTGGTGCCCTGTTTTGGGGTGCCACTTTGTCACTTGGGGGCATCCCGGGCTTGACTTCTGCTGTTGAACTGCCCATGTGCTTGTGACTTTATTCCCTGACAAACTGGGTCTTCACGATCGAAACCCAACCCCCAAAGACAATGGCATGAGACAAACTCGGCTCTCTGGACATGCTCATTTGCTCATTCTGAATTCAAATCCGTAGATGCGTCATTGAGCATGCTGCATCGGTATGCCGAGCTCATCCAGATGAAACTTACTTAGATGAATCTTGAGTCTTGGCACACTTCCTCCATTGTCCGAAGTCCGAAGGCAAGCACTCAACCTTTGAGACATCATTGGTGCAGTGTGCTGTAAAATGAAAACAAAACAACAACATGTTCCCTTGTAGCCTTTCTTGCATTGAAAGGATTGCAGATTTGTCCCTACTTGTAGCGCTTTGAACGGAAATTCGGGACGTCGAGCACTACATTTTGTGGGATTGTTTTGTATACGTAGTTCTTGTCCAGGATCCCTCATGTGTGTATAGTCTTGCGGCAAAAGACTGGACATCCTCTTTGCCCACCGCCTCAATGAGGTAGTTAAAGGGGCATGGTACTTAGTAAGTGGTTAGTAAGCCTGGTGATAACCCACTTAGGAGATTTATAACCATGGGAAGTGCGATATCGCCAGGCTTGACAACCACTTACTAAGTACCCTGCCCCTTTGCGTACTCTGGCGCCCGTGTTTCCTCATTTTTCCGAGCCCTGCACAGTGCTTCCATTCGTTGTCTCGAGACACGCAGGAGCTCAGAAGCAGACACAGCCCTGTGAGGCATCGCGCCGCAGAGAGAAGGTAGGTTGATCACGGACGCGGCAAGGCGAACGGTTGAACTGAAGCAGCGGCTACTCGGTATGCCCAGAATAAAAAGCTATTTGGTGTCCGAACATAGGGGCCTTCCCCAACCCGAACCACAAGTCTCCCCTCTACCTGTTTTGCTAAATTTCCCCAAGAGCTGAAAGCTAAAGGGTCTCAGCCCAGATAAGCTTTGGGGGTGGCTCGGGGAGCTCTGGAGTGAGGTTCGAGCAAGGTTCCAGTCCAGGTGAAGGTTCCGGAGGTTCCGGGGTGGTCTGGTGTAGGCCAGGCGTTCGAGGAGGGTTCCCGAGGGTTCCCGAGGTTTCCGGGTAGTCTGGTGCGGCCAGGTGTAAGGTTCAAGGAAGGTTCCGGATTCTGCGGGCTCTGTGGGGGTTCCACGAGACGCAATGGGCGTTCCGGGGTTCCATGAGGGTTCTGCGAGGTTTCGAGGAGGGTTGAAACTTTAGTTCAAGCCCTTGCTTGATCTCGTGGGGAAAAATAGAACCGATGGTATTCCCCCAATTCGCTTGACATCAACCTCCAGTGATTTCTTGTTAAGGTCCTGTCCAGCTTTGTTCGTCCGCCAACCAGTTCTTTGTTTGGATGGATGGGCTCCGGTTTTTTGCGGTATGTGGAACAGGGGCTAGCTTGCCTGTGGGTCAAAACCAATGGTACCATTTTGGGGTAGGTGCACCACCCATTTTAGTCTATTTTAGTGGGGATTGGGATGTTCACTGGGGGTACGGCCTTTTGACCCATGGCCAATATGATGCTGTGAGATGTCATCCGAAGCGCAGGCATATTACGCCTCAGCGTAAGAGGGTACCTTTGGTGGCTAGTGACTCGCCAGCGGTCCAGCGGTCCAGTCAGTGTATAGCCGCTTGGAGGGAGAGCACACGCATTTTTGACCATGTCTCATGTGAGGCATGGGAGGAAGACATGACCAAATGGCGGCTCGGCCACCATTTCGATCCCAAAGTGGCAACCTCTGACACTTCTGGGTGTATCAACGCCTGGTGCTCGCTGAACCCTTGCTGTGGGTTTAACCCTGCCATGCCACGTGCTCAATCTTCAATCGTCCTTGAACAGTTTGCTTTTCGCACCTGACGTTCAGGTGCCTACGCGATTGGTGTTATTGGTTATGCACTTCCCAACACAAAGCACTTGGGATGATGCTCGATGTAGATTTATTAGCACAAGGTTCTGAGTCAATGGGCTTCGTATCCACTGAGACTCATACAAATTTTCGGACTTTGTTTCGAGATGATGTCAGCTGTGAATCTGTTGATCTCACCGCCATGCTGGTTTTGCGTGGATCACATGACACGACGCATCATTCCCTTACAGTCTGTTTGCAATGCCCGGCCTTTAAACGTGTAAGGACTTCTTATGCTCGGTCCCGAACTAAACCGCACGTTTCCGGAAGCAACGGATCTGGGAGTCCGCTCTTTGCTTCAGGCTGAGCCCTTTGTCCAAACTTTCGGCACCCAAGTCGCCTATTGTCCATTTACCATTTTGCAAAACAAGTTTGCTCTTGTGACACAGTGGAATTTTGGTTTCGTAGAGCCCAGCTTTTGCACCCAAGTGATTGTGTAAGTCCCTTTCGGGTTTTGGCCTACTCTGATCGAATTGGACTTCCCGCCAGGTCGAGGAGCACGTGCGCGACTGCCGGCTCTCTCACTGGAGCGAGTGGGGAGACCCAAAGCGCCATGCTGGCCGTTCGAGCTTGCCGAGCTGAGTGCCCATAGCTTCTTGCTCGCAGCCCAAAAGCTAAGATCCCCTTTTAAAGGAACATCGTGACAGTTGCTCTTTCTCTTCCAAACTGCGGATGTTGAGAGTCGGGTCGCGCTTGCACGCATGCAGACACACACACACACATACATACATACATACGTACGTACGTAACGTACATATATATATATATATATATATGTATTGTCAAGATGGGGAACTGGCCGGCTTGCAGGTGGGGTGAGTGCTCCAAGCGCGGGCCTCGGTGCTTGCAGGGTGACACCGAGTGGGCGGGGCTGAGCTGGAGTCGTGTGGTACATGTGATGGTTGGTTGGTTGGTTGGTCGTTCTATTTGTTTGTTTGTTTGCTTGCTTGCTTGCTTGCTTGTTTGCTAGCTTGCTAGTTTGGTTTGTTTGTTCATTCGTTGTGTTTGTTTTCTTGTGGCTGCTGGTGTGGGATTTAAGGCAGTGGATGCTGGCGAACCCCAAGGCCTTTTTGCGTTCTCAGCGCGTTTTGTGGAAGCCCCCAACTTGCCATTGCTCAAGCAGCGAATGGGCAAGAGGGAGTAAGACACCCATGGTAAGTAGTCCTTCTTCGGGACCCCTTTGTTGCAGCAAGTGCAGCTGTGCTGATTGGTGCAGATCCATGTTGCACTCTATGTCCGGAGTCCTTCTAAGAGATTCCTCCCAACCTTTCTGGTTCGTGTCTATCCTGCATGATTCCCCTATAAATACCAACGCACGCTCTGGCTTTCCATGGATTCCAAGTGGAAATGGATTCCGCTCACCACAGAAGATAAGATCTTCCTTGCACTCCCCGCGCCGGGGCTGGGGATCTGTGCCACCGCTCTAGAAATAATCACACCCTTCCCAACAGCCTCGCACCAATATGCGCACATGTCAACCAATGAGCATCTTGATTTCGGGAAGATCAAACATGCAGGTCAGTGGATGTTTGCTCCATCTCAAACATCAACTTCGGATCATTTCTCGCCCGCGGAAACCTCTTCACGCTGGGCTCTCTCGCCAGGTCTTGCGGCGGGGGGCAGATGGAGATGTCCCGCGAGGTGGGCCGCGCGTTTTCGTGAGGTCCGGGAAGGTTTGCAGGGCGGTGCTTGGGCAGGTTGGGTGGGACGCGTGCGTCGGCGTGGATTTGATGGGAGGCTTGGAGGCTTGGTGCTGTTGCAGTCCTTGAAGTGAGTAGTCAGCATCTTTGAGCTACGGGGTGTACAATTCCACTATTCACGTTGATGTAGCTCAAATGAAGGCAGCGTTTGAAGAATTTGCCTATGGGCTTGTTGACATCATGATGTCATTTCATCCGCTTTCCGATTGCTTCTAATGATGACATGAAGCCAAACCTGCATCGCTCTGGAGCAACAACAAGATCCCAGAGACCATGCAGCCTTTCCACCAATACGCCGCATGTGCCAGCTCCTGGCAATAGAACATGTGCAAACAGCACGCAGCTTTCAGATGTTTCAATACTCACCAATTTCAGGGCTCCAAGCTCAAGACTGATTGGCAGTTGCAAGTGGCGTCGGAAACAGGATGATCCTCAATTGTCTACATGTCAAAGCGCAGAGACATATGCGGAATCTTTTGGGCAAGCATACAGCAGATGTTCTTCTCTTCCACACATGGCAAGGGGCGGTCAATTGAGATTGAACCACTTTGCTCATCCCGCGTTTTCAGCGGGGTGCTGTCTGAATCTTTGGGCAAGCATATAGGAAATGTTCTTGGAGGTGTTTCCACTTGGGGGGGGGGGCAATCGCGCCAACCACTTTGCTTATCCCGCATTTGCATAGTGCGGTTGTGTCTGAATTCTTTGGGGCAAACATGTAGGAGATGACCGAGGGCACGCTCTAAAACAATCAAAAAGAAGAGAAAAGCGCGAACCACTTCGCTAATCCCGGGGCGCCTGCACGCCGTTGGCAGACAGACCCCACTGGCATGCAAATAGACAGAACCCTGGCATGTAAATGTTGGTCTCTTTTGTTTTTTGTTCTAGAGGTAGACATTTGGTGTTCTGAACACAGCGGGCAACGGCCTCTCCGAAGGCCAGGGTTGTTTGTCGTGGCTTCCCCTTTGCGGGTGGGCTTTTGTGTGCGCGCATATCGCCAAAATCTAGGGGTTCCCGTGCAGGTCCCAATGTTAGGGCATACGACAACCACAACACTTTTGGTTGGACAAGATCCGTCAAGCTTGGTGGGTCGAACTGCAACCACTTTGGGCCCGGTTGGGTGTGTCTTTTCGGGCACCCCCAAAAAATGCACCTTGAACACCTCTAAGGTTTCCCGTTTAGGGAACACTTCCTTTTGGTTTCCCTTGAACACCTACTGAAAAACGGTACCAACAACTCCAAAAAGGAGCCACAGCCATGGGCGTATTTCCCCCGCACTTAGGTCCTGGAGCACGCGCTGCACGGCGGCGCGGCCTGTACTGGGCCCACCAAGCCCGGCGACCTACGGGGGGCCAAGCGAGTTGCACGAGAGCTGCAAAGCGAGCTGACCGGATGATTTTTTTTTTTTTCTCCGAATGAATCATTTTTGTTTGGTTCTTCCCGTTTTCGGGTTCCCCTTTTTTGGGGGCAACAGATGATAACCTGGAAGTCTTTTGGGGGAAATCCGAATGGCTAGTAGTGGGTTCGGAAAAATCGAAATGGTTGGCCTTGAGTATTCTTGTAATGTTCACCAAAGGTGAGTGACTAACATCCGCGCCCCAAATCGGTTTCAAGTGGGTCCCTTCAAAAAACAAACACACAGCAGCTGTCCCTAGTTTCGACATGCACGACTCAAGGTGGACCCGTTTTCCAAGCTCGTGCGTCATCTTTTCGGTGTCCCGGCCAGCGCCGAAGATCAGAAGCCGATTTTGTTGGCCCATTCGCAGCTTCAGGTGGTGCGAAGATCCAAACCAGCGATGCCGATGAATTGATGGGCCAATCCGACAAAAACATAGCATGAATCGCTCTAGCGAGGATACGAGGAAGCCGGGATCCCTGGCCACTAGTGGAACCTCTCAAACCCCTTGCCAAAGGCTCACTCGCATGAGCACCCTCGCGTGCCAGATGGTTCATTTGCGATTGAACGAGATCAACCAGCCCGTCCTTTCTCAGGCAAAGAGGCAGCCTAGTTTTCTGTTGTCCTTGCCGGTTGGGTTTTGTTGATAGAGGGGAGTTGCAACCAGGGTCCTTTTAAAGTGCTTCTTTATTCTTGTTTTGGGGCCTCCAACATTGTTTCACACTTCTGGGAAGACTAAATATGACGAAGAATCTGCAGATCGCATTTGGTTTTTGGTAAACCCAAACTAGTCCTGCACCCTTTTCGGGGCCAAGTTTTTGGGAAGACTACACATATCAAGCAGAATCTGAAGATATGCCCTTCCCCGAATCGGAATCCAATTCTGAAGCAGAATCTGTTCCAAGGCGGGAGGTGAAAGTTGCCCACAAGTCGACCGCCCGAGGCTCACCAAGTCTTGCAACATGGAGATGTGCAGCGTGGGTCCCAACCCCCACGACTGCCTTCTGGGCGCCCGGGCCTCGGCAACCGCCTCTGGGCGTTTTGGAGGAAGACTTTCATTCGCTTGCCTTGCCAAGGCATGGTATCTTCCATGCTCAATGGTATCTTAGGCCAGGGCTAAGAGGGAAAATAAAAGACAAATTCATTTCAGCAGGGTTGCTTGGAGCTGCTTCACGAGTTGCTGAAACCCTATGTAGTAAAATAGGGGTCTGTCTTCTTGAGGGGACCATCAACAATGGGTGGTTTTCCTTTCGGCTTCCTTTAACACCACCCCAAACAGGGGTACCAACTCCAAGAAAGACAGACCGATGTCGTGGATTCATGGCGCTTTGCGCTTCAGCCTGACTAGACACCGCTGCTAGGGACCAGTCTGGTACAAACTTCACAGACATCCGACTTGACACTACCTACGTAGGTCAACGGCGAAGAAAGGTTCAGGACAGGAATTCAAAGGTTTCACTCAGTTGCGCAAAGAAAAGGGGATCAACTACAGGCTGCAAAGGTGAAAGGTCAAAGCAATCACCAACGGCACAGAGGTTTCTTGGGCCTGTGTCGAGTTTGGCAGGGTCAGGCATGTGCTTGAACAAGACGCTGAGTCCCGAAAACCAACAAAAACACCGAAGGACGCGTATAGGTGTCCTTTTGATTGGTTTGTTTGGTGAGATGTTTTACCAAAAGGACACCTATGGCATTTGGTTCTTAATAATGTTGCAACGGGGCATTGGTTTCGCCAGCCGCCCTGTCACTGCGTTCAGGACTGGTCGGAGTGGCGTGGCTGCGACGAGGGCTCGCAGGCGCGTTGCTTTGGTGGTGCGAGAAGCGACTCGTTTGGTCCTGAAATATCCAGGAGGGCGCTTTGAGTGCTTTCTTTTGGTTCGGGGTGAGCAGTTTTGAAGGGCGATACTGTGGGTGGACGAAATCCTGCACCCCCTGAAAAACCCTGGAGTGATGAATCAACTGTAAATGCCAACAGACGATGGTTTCCCAGCAGGATTTTGTCCATCCACAGTAGCTCAGTTGGCTGAAATTTTCGGTTGGCTTTTGCCTTTTGGGCGGTTCGGGTGGGTTCCCAAGCTGCGTCGGCATCCTGAGCGTCACTGTTGATTTTGGCGGCGGTCTTTTGTTTGGTTGCGTTTTCCCTCATGCTTCCATCCCAAACGACCGCGGGACCAAGCACCCACGGCACTGACAGCTGGCAGGTTGGTATTGGCCATCTTGGCTTAGCACCTGCACCTGCAACCCCTGCCCCTGAATGACTCCAAATGAGTCACAGTCAAAAGTCGGGTAAGTGAAGGTTAGTAAGGGACGATCCCAACCATAAATGGCTGCGGCCGCCTTCTTAGTTCTTTACATGGTTCTGGGTAGGCCATTTTTGTACTGGGTTTTGATTTTGGCTCAAATGCCTGTGTTGTCTTGGCAGATTTCGGCCAAACCCGGCATTAAAAACGTGCCAGGTGTCATTTTCAAGCCAAGGGATCATGGTACCAGGGGAAAGGGACCCCACCAAAGCCTCAAAGCGGGGCAGGGCCTCTCATAGGCCAACCGGGAGAAATCCGCCCCATCGCTTTGGGAGGCGCATGGGTGGTTTCATGGCGCCCTTTAAAGCGATGACGAGGACGACGACGACGAGTGGTGGTGGTGGTGATGATGTGGACGATGGCAGCAGCAACATCAGCATCGGCATCAGCATCAGCACCCTCATCATCCTCATCATCCTCATCAGCCTCATCATCCTCATCATCCTCATCACCCTCATCATCACCCTCATCATCACCCTCATCATCCTCATCATCCTCAACATCCTCAGCATCGTCATCCTCGTAAATCAAGGCCAACCCAAAGTCAAGCAGAAACCCTCCCTAGACCGCCTCCAACCCAGCATGACGTACTTGTTCCGGCACTTGTCTCGAGCTTCTACACGGTCGACCGCTGCCAAATGAAACGTCCGGCCGCTCGACCACGGCTGCCTGTAGTGACACACGCGGCTGATTTGGGCACGCCGCGAGGTGAGTCTGCTACAGACGCGTCAGACGCGGTGCAGCAGTGGCAAAAACAGATGCGGCAGCGTGACGAGGGGAAGGATCAGGGCGACGTCTGCAAGCCTGGCACCCATGAAGTACGGCGATGCTGTCTGAGAGTGGAGGAGCTCAGAATCCGCATGCCATGCGCCCTGTGAGTCTTATCAAAAGGCATTGGCTGGGTGAGTTGCCTGTGGAGCAGTTTCCCATTGCTGTTTACCTCTAAGCCCGTGGCGCGCCGAACCGCTGCGATGACGAGGATGATCTGAGAAGCTGCTGCTGCCGCCGCTGCTGCTTTTGTTAGTGAGGATATGTTTTCATTCAGTTGGTACAGTGTTAGAGACTCTACTGAACATAATCATGTAAAACTTGGTGGTTAAAAACATCATCATCATCTGCTAGAGTGGCAACTCGGATCGTGGCATCCAGTGGCCACCTCGGGGGTTTCCGGGTTCCGCGCCAGGCCCTCCGCACCCGGAGCCCGGTGCGGGAGGCCTCGGCGGGCGGCTCGCCATGCAGCGGCGCCACCAAGGAAGCAGGAGCTGAACGCCGGGAGACTTTTGGTTGGAGGGCCCGTTTTTTTTTGGGCGAGTCTTTTAGCATCGCCGTAACCCAAGAACAGATGAAAGTTGTTTTTCTTCTTTTTGCAACAAGCCAGTTTTTTAGCGTCGCCTTATCCCAAGAACAGATGTTTTTTTTGTTTTTGTTGTTTGCAACAAGCCAGTCTTTTAGCATCGCCTTAACCCAAGAACAGATGAAGTTGTTTTTCTTCTTTTTGCAACAAGCCAGTTTTTTAGCGTCGCCTTATCCCAAAAACAAATGAACGTGTTGTTTCCCTTTTTTTTCCTCGTTTGCCACAAGCCAGTCTTTGAGCATCGCCTTAACCCAAGAACAGATGAAAGTTGTTTTTCTTCTTTTTGCAACAAGCCAGTTTTTTAGCGTCGCCTTATCCCAAGAACAGAATTGTTTTTTTTTTTTGTTTTTCTTTTTTTTTTCCGTTTGCAACAAGCCAGTTTTTTAGCATCGCCTTAACCCAAGAATAGATGAAAGTTGTTTTTTTCGTTTGCAACAAGCCAGTCTTTTAGCATCGCCTTAACCCAAGAACAGATGAAAGTTGTTTTTTCGTTTGCAACAAGCCAGTCTTTTAGCATCGCCTTAACCCAAGAACAGATGAAAGTTGTTTTTTCGTTTGCAACAAGCCAGTTTTTCAGCGTCGCCTTAACCCAAGAACATATATAAGTTTGTTTTTTTGCAAGAAAACCAGTTGTTGAGCGTCGCCGCAACCCAAGAACAGATAAAAGTTGTTTTTTTCTGCAACGAACCAGGTTTTTCCGCGTTGCCTTGAGCCAAGAACAGATTGACAGTTGACCAACACCCAGGCGGTTTTTTCCCCCTTGCCCGGGAGGCCCCCTTTGTCATGTGTTTGGTTTCGCCTGCAGGAGAGTGTCCTGCGGCGGCGGCCCGGGACTGTGCCTTCTCCGACTGGGGCGACTGGGGCTGGGGGCCCTGGGTTCCCCACGGCGAGCCCGAGACATTCACGGCGAGAGAGGTGGGGTGGTAGGGGCCAAGTGGTGCCCTGCACCGAAACTCAGGCAACTACTTGGTGGTTGGGATTGGTGGCTTGGATTTGGATTTGATGCCCCGGCATTTGTTGAGGGTAGAGGGTTGGAATTCCCAAACCAATCTAAACCACCGATTGGAGGGAAGCTGATTAAAATCAATCGCAAACGCGACTCTGTTTGAATAGAATTCTTAGAGGTAAACTGGGAACTGGTAAACGCGATTGTAGACTCTGAACAACAGGATGGGTCTCCTCGTTGGACTTTCAGGGTTTCCTTGCTGCACCCTTCTCGAAAGGCCGGCCTCTTTTCCTTTTCCAAACGAGGTCTTGTAGGTGCTCATATCGCTTTTTATTGTTTTCTCCTTTGGGTTTTTGCATGCAAGAATCCTAGTGGGGAACCTCAGCTCACCCGGGTTTGTTCAACTTCTTTAGCAATATGCTAGCCTCTTTTATCCAGGAGCTTCAAAGCCTTCACAAGCTAAAAACTGGTCCTTTCTCATTTCACAGCTCGGAGTTCTTTCACCTTATCACAGCTGAAATGGGTTCTTCTCTATGTAGAGGCTGATTGTTTTCTTTCTCCAACCACTGGTTCTGGGCAAATATGAAGACCTCACAAAGGGATGTGTGCGACTTTTTAATGAGGTTCCTTGCTGAGTGACTCCTTATCTTCGCAAATTCGCTTATGAGTGTGTCCTGTCCTGCTGGTCGGACACCCTTGCCACACACCGCATCAGGACGCAACCAAGTGATTTGTTCTGTTCCACCACCCCCACCCACCACCCCCACCCACCACCCCCACCCACCACCCCCACCCACCACCCCCACCCACCACCCCCACCCACCACCCCCACCCACCACCCCCACCCACCACCCCCACCACCCCCACCCACCACCCACCACCACCACCCCACCCACCACCCCCCACCCACCACCCCCACCACCACCCCCACCACCCCCACCCCCCCCACCCCACCCACCCCCACCCCACCCACCACCCCCACCCCACCCACCACCCCACCCCCCCCCACCACCCCACCCCCCCACCACCCCCACCACCCCCACCACCCCCACCACCCCCCCACCACCCCCCACCACCCCCCCACCACCCCCACCACCCCACCCACCCCACCACCCCCACCACCCCCACCACCCCCACCACCCCCACCACCCCCACCACCCCCACCACCCCCCACCACCCCCCCCACCACCCCCACCACCCCCACCACCCCCACCACCCCCACCACCCCACCACCCCCACCACCCCCACCACCCCCACCACCCCCACCACCCCCACCACCCCACCCACCCCCACCACCCCCACCACCCCCACCACCCCCCACCACCCCCACCACCCCCACCACCCCCACCACCCCCACCACCCCCACCACCCCCACCACCCCCACCACCCCACACCACCCCCACCACCCCCACCACCCCCACCACCCCCACCACCCCCACCAACACCCAGCCTCACCCAGCCCCCCCGCCGGGCCACCAGCCACCAGGCTCCTGCGGCGCCACCTGCGGCGGCGGCCAGCGCTTCCGCACCCGAGAGGCGGGTCCAACCAGCCCCATTTGGGTGGCGCCGTCTTTTGGGGGGTGAAAATCGGCTTCGGTCACAGGTGTCCTTTTTAGTTGTTTTGGTAGAACAATGGATGGTCCTGGCTTACCTGGGTGGTTGAATCATCTACCAGGGCCATCTATTCCCCTAAAAGGACGCCTATGGCTTCGGCTGTCCTTTTGGTTTGCCTGTTAAACCGCACGAAGTGGGGGTATCCAATCCCAAAAAAAGGCAACCCCCATTTATATATACAATGGCCTTCCCTTTTTTCCCAAAACGGGGCATGGAGGTTCTGTTTCCGGACTTCGCCACGCCGCCCCTGGATTGTGATTCCAGTGGTCTCGTCTTCCAAGGCTATGCGTTTGGGTGGGCGCCGCAGGATGCCAGAGCGATTTCCTTCCGGCGGTTCTGAGATTGTTTGGTCCCAAAGGCACAGGTCTGATCCTGGTGGTTCCCAGCTTTGCGATCGGGTGAAACAGGACTTCAAGGGTCCCAACTTTGCGCACCGCCCTGAGATGTTGCGTCAAGAGTTCGACTTTTTGACTGGTGAAGCTAATCGGCTACCAGATAGAAGTACCGTTCCGCTGGTCAAACACTCGTGGACTGCGGCACGAACCTTTCGTAGACGACCTTCAGTCCTTGTCCAGAACAACTTTGAGAGAGCGGGTTGTTGAAAGCAGGGAAGATTTGTCGGAACCCAATTCGGGGTGTTGACTATGCTTCTTTCAAAAAACCTTTTAGAATAAGTATCACATGTGAAGGATTTGTTGTTCCTTCTTGCCGACTGGCTGTGAAGTTGGAACTCCAGTTAGACCCATCATTTTGATCCAATCTCTGAGCATATCACTTGTGGACGCCCTCTTTTTGCTGGTGCGATAGGCAGGGCATGAGGGAACCCTTACAAACTATCCAACTGGTGAAGGGGACCAAAGCCTGGGTTCATTCCAACTCAACCTATCGCACCAGCAAGTTTTTCTCCTTCTTTTGAGATTAGTGTTGACCCCACATTAAATAGCCCCAGTTTATTAATCGAGGGGTGTCTGGGTTTAGGATTAGCTTGGATAAAAACACTTTTGGAGGGGAGCACCCCTTATATTAAACTGGGGTTGATAGTTATGGGGTCACCATCACTAGGTCCCCCAGTAGTGTCCTTTTCCCTTTTTTGGTTGGGAGGGTTCCCCTACTAAAATAGACTACAGAAAAAGGTTGGTACCCTTATTCTAACCTCTCTACTGGAGGACCTAGATTATGTTGAGGAGCCTTCGGGGGGGCTAAAGAGGAGGTGCTCGCCTGGCCTTCAGGTCAAGGACGAGGCGGAGCCGGGGGGCAAGCCTTGCGAGGGCGACACCCACGAGACGGAGACCTGCAACGAGGAGGCGGGGGATGAAAATGCCAGCGTGGTTGTGAGGGTGGGTTTGGCCGGTCAGAATGTTTCCTTCTTCTTTTCAGGCATCCTACTTTCTAGAAAACCTCCGGAAGACCAGGGGTCCCCAACGGCGAAAAAGGTTTCTGAAAAGAAGGATGGTGAATGGGGAATCATCCCCTAGAAGAATGTTTCCAATGGGGATTTGCCTTTGGATGCTGGTCAATGAGAAAGCAAGAGAACAAGGGGGCTTCGTTTTTGATTTTGTTGCACCCAGTTTGAACCTGGCTTGCCAGGCTCATTAGCTGCCAAGGTAGGTTCATACATTGAATGGAGATCAGATGTTCAGAAGTTGGATGGACGCCAAAGCCTTGGCTCATGCCCACTTTGCAGTCACTGGCAGGTGCGGGCTTTAAGAATGGGTCTACTATTGATGTGTGGTGTGCGTCAAAACTTATTTCTAGGAGCTGGACGTAGCTGCGACACAGCATTGCTTGCTTCATTGGTCCTTTTCCGTCTTTTCTTGCTGGTTCCCAGCCTTCCTGTTTCGTTGCTTTCGTTGCTTTCGTTGCTTTCGTTTCTTTCGTTTTGTTCTTTCTTTCTTTCTTTCTTTCTTTCTTTCTTTCTTTCTTTCTTTCTTTCTTTCTCTGTTGGCGCGGTGCACGCTTGCGTGTGTTTGTCCATGTGGCTCGGAGTATGGCAGGGGCTGCACATTCTCGCATCCCGGAGAGCTGGTCTTTCAATCAAGTGGATCGATGTAGTATGTTGGGTCTGTTCTCGTTGAAAAGGTGGACGCGTTAACACGGAAGGTCTGTGTGATAGCTTAGAGCTGCGCTGGGTCATTTTTGCGAGTTGTAAGTAGCTGACTGCTCGCTCAGGTGTCGTGCGATGTAGCAGCGGACTGCGTCATCTCTCACTGGAGCATGTGGCCCGGGGTCCTAAACTGGCACTTCTTCCCTCCCTCTGTCAGGAGGATGGCAAACCGCCGGCCTCAGATAAACCAGCACCACTGAACAATCATTGAGCCCCAGACGGGTTTTCGGAAGGCTGCTTGGACCTTCTTAAAAAGTTGAAGGTCACGGGCAAAAGATTAACCCAAAACCCAAAATCTGAGGCTCGCGCGCCGAGTTTCAAGCACCGAGCTGCCTTTGGGAGTGGGCGCTGCGGGTGAATTTCCAACGGGAGGGTGCCAAGTCAACCACCAAGGGTCTGTAGTTTGGGGGGGGCGCTTTTTGACCCATGAAGCTGCTGAGCATGCTGGAGTCAGAACATGATTCTAGCAGAATGTTGAATCAGCCCTGACCGACTCTGAAATGTAGTTGAACCCTTCCAAACGGCTGCTTTCCACAATAGGATACCCCAGCACAGCATTTTGAACAATCCAGATCCCCCAATTTTGACCACATGCAACTCCCGCAACGTCCCGGCTGCACCTAAACTCCAGGAACCCGAGGAGTCCGAATTTGTTTTGGATGGACGAAAAGATACAATTTGCACCACCTAAGAGACAATGGTTGAAACCATTGTTGGTTTGTATTTACAGGGGAATCAAATGAGAAACCAGGGTTTCTAAACAGTGGTGCGAGCGGATTTCGCAACCATCCACAGTTTTGCTGCCATTTGGCCACGCGTTCGCCGAACATCTCCGCTGCCGGCTCGAGGTCTCAGTGCTCTGTCTCTTGCGGCCAGGGTCTCTACGCGCGCGAGAGGAAGGTTCTGCAGGCGTCGAGAAACCATCAATGGGGTGGAAGTGCACCAACGTCTTCTTGCTGGTGCTCAGTAGGGAATGTGGGAATGAACCCAGGGGTCCCCTTAACCGAAACCACAAGAACTTGTTTATAGTTGTCATTCCCTCATTCCCTGTCTATCGCACCAGCATGTTTTCAGCGAGGCTTGGGCGTGGTGAATGAACTGCTATTTGAAGACAGGATCCAATTCAAAGCTGTCAAAAAATGTGACGGTGTCCGCACCAAAATAGAAATGGGACCCTTTGCGGTGTCTTGTTGTGCTGCTATGGGGTCCCAAAGAGAGTCATAGTGACAAAGCTTGAGACGGCGAAACCGTCGAAGGCTCCATTTCCCTTTCAAGGGAACCTCCCCGGCGATGTTTTTAATGGACACCACCAGCAACTTGATCAGCATGGGAAGGGAATTCCAGGGACTGTATCCATTCAGGATGCTTTTGTCTTGGGGCAGAGTTTGGTGGATGCTTTAAAAGGGACTCTTTCCTCGCAGTCCTACAACAGTTATATATTGTTATCGCAAATGTGTTCAAAATCCGCTTCCCTCCAGTTGCTGGTGTATCCCAAGGGTAAAATCACACCGCCAGGAATCGGACCGCGGGTGTTAGTCCTTTCCGTTTGCCGATCGGGCAACCCATTTCGGGGTTACCCTGTCGACCACAGCCATGCAACTGTTGCAGCTTGTCTCATACAGTCCTTGAGCTTATGGATTGAGCTAGATCCGGTTCCTGCGGGTTTCACTAGGACCAGTTGGAGAATTCATGTGTTACTTGGGTCACGGCCATCGCTGGTGGTTTCCTTTAAGGTAGTCCCTGAAGCCATTCATTCCCAAAACCCGGACTCGGTTTCTCCCCTTCTTGAGCACCAGCAAGGCACAGCTTTTACTTTTCTCATGAGGGTAAATCCCAATTTCCAGACCTCTCGGGCTCATGTGCGCAGCCTTGCTCGAAGCTTTCGCCAGGCCGCCCAGCCGGCGGGCCGCGGCTGCAACGTGGTGCTCTGGGAGGCGGCGGTTTTGGTGGGCAGGTTTGACTTTGGGGGTTGCCAAGACAGGACTTCCTTGTCCAAGGCAGACCTGTTGACCTTTAAGGTCAACAGGTTTCGAAAGGTGAACCAGGCCCTTTCGTCAAGTGAGAGCATTCAGTCGAGGCAAGGGCCGATGTCGTGATCAAGACATGGGGGTTGATCAAAAGGTCTGACAAACATCGGGTGACCATTCGCGAAACCACTCAAAAACTGACTTTCACCACTAAATGGGAGAAGTTACCCATGGTCATGGAATGTGGGGGCCAGAAATGTTCCAAGTGCCCTTCTGTTACTCTGTTGGGTTCTGTTATTCTGTTGGGGGGTACTTCGCTATGGGAGATACCCATGCCTTGTTGACACTAGATAAAACATCAGAAATGGGTGGAACAGGGTTGCAGGGATTGCTTTCGCCAGGCACCAGGACTGACCTCGAGCTTGCAGTCAGGTGAATGTAGATGGCACACTTCGTTCAGTTGGATTTTGTCACCCTGTCACCCCCTTAACTTACCAGCATCGACTTTCACCCTGCACCTTCAAGGTGCACGGCTGCATGGGGGCCTCCACCAATTCCACCTGCCGCTCGGATTCAGCGGTTCCGGGGTGTTTTCGAGGTTTTTCTTTTTGCCAGAGACTGATGACCCTGTCGTAGGTGAGGTCAACCCCCATATGTTCAGAAGGGGCAAAGAGGTTCTGCCTTTCAAACGACCCTTGGCTGGGGGAGGGGAAGGGGAGGGGGAGGGGGAGGGGGACGATTGTCGGTGCGGAACGAGGATCATTGGCATGAATCATGGGTTTTCGCGGTTGTCCTCCCGAGCGGGAGC